ATTATACTCAGCCACGTTCCTAAAAATCTGAAGCAGTGCGTCACAACAGGTTATATTTAACGAACCTTGAATAATTTAATTGTCATTATTAAAAAAGCTGTGCTGTGTAGACCGATTGTTCTCAGTTTAATGATCACCCCGAATGTTCGATAATTTAACACGAGGGTTGCTTAAAAAACTGTCGGTTATCAAATGGCAGCTCCGTTTACTAGGCAGGGCTGTTTGCTCTTCTTCTTGCGTTTCAAGACAGTCAGCAACACGTTTATTCTCCGAGCACAATTGCGATCTGTCCACGTTACAAGGCAGATGTAAAGTCGTTTAACTGCCCAGATGTTGCTCCTCACTGGCTTGTCCACATCATCAATCCGTATCATATCTTACTCTCATAGGACATGCACACATTACTTACATAAATCATATATTATACTCAAAAGACATGACATTAGCCATTCAAATCCGTAATCGATTTTCTGTGTTCTCCAGGTTATAGAGGCATTATGGGGATTAAGCAGGGAGGGTCCATTGGCTCAAGAAGCTTTGGCCCTTTCGCATCACATAAATTTCCGTTGATTCTAAATTTATTAGTGTTCAACTCGGACAACGATAAAACATTTTTGGCTACGACGATGGACAAACAACGGCTAGAACGCTGCTTCATGACATCAATTGTGACATGACACTTTAGCCATCATGGGAGAAGATATTGGCTTGTCTGCGAGCTGGACACAGTATATACTCACCCAAAATCACGCATATTTGCATCGCCCTCGTCCCTGCTCACAGCCGTGCGATTATCCACTTTAGGGCAAACATTACTATTGAGTGCAACAAATTTAAGCAATAGTAGAATGCCGTGGAGACCCATTTTCTTTGGCGCAGCATCAGATTCTCTTAATGATATTTCTCGGTGACGACCAATCACAATTACTCCATCTACTTTTCAACTTTATCAAGCTCACCAATCCGCTTGGGGCGATGTGAACGATCATAACGGATATCTCGTTCTTGCATGTTTTTTTTCTAACTCACGAAGCAACAATGTGGTTTTGAAATAATGAAATTCAAATAACGACAGATTAAAAACAAATTTTAATGGTCATGAGTCTAAAGTTATGCTGAATTATCGACCATTTAGCATTGCCTCCACACTTGGAAATATTGAAGCAGGCATCAGATACGATGAAACCAACTCACAGGCGGTGGGAAGCTAACGAGCAAGACCCGTCACAACATTGTGGCAATGGTGCGTTACTAGTACGCTTACCAATATGCGATCTAGTAATGGGCTTACCTGGGCCCGCCCCTGCGGCCACCCGCCGGAGCCGTGGGCCGGCCGGCCGCTACGGGCAGCGGTCACCGGGACGGCCGTTTTCTGACGCCGGCGAGAGCGCGTGTTTGTCACGGCGCGTGACGGCGAGTGGGAACATGTGAAATTGAGTCCAAGGTGAAATTCGCGTGGGTTGGTGGAGAAGAGGCTGGAAGACTTCTTCTGACGGTTAGATACATATCGGCTGGGGGTGGGGGGATGAGACGACATCTTGGGGAAGGTGCTTCTTGGCCCGGCATGCGGATGCGGTGATGGATGCGCCTTTCAGAAGAGGACCTAAATGCTGTTGGAACCTCGAAGTCGGCACTGCGTTCGGGAATTTGGTCCTCACTATAGCTGGAATTGTTGAATACAGGCTCTGGTATTGAAGTAGTTATGATGCAGTGCGCTTCCTTAATCACCGACGCATGCAACGCTCCGAGACATAAAGGTACGTTTCTTTCAACCTCGCTTTTTGTTTCGTGGGTGCGTCCCCTGGCTCGGGGCCCCTGACACGTCCGTTGGAGCCGCACTCTTGAGTCGGCTTTATGCCACCCCGTCCGATGTGGCAGCGCAGTTGCGTCTGTTGTATTGCACCATTCAGGTTTTGGCCGTGGCCATGTCTGTAAGGCGGCACAACGTGAGGATGAGTCAGACCCGGCTGTAATACCGGGCGTCGGCACTCACCCTATCTGAACGGCGGACGGCAAAGCGCTCGTCGGATCGCCTCTCAACAGCGTCTCCCACCTGGTGCGGCCGGACCGAGCCGCTCCGAGCCTCGTCGGCGGCCGGCGGCGGGCACGGACCGCGCCGCGTCGGCGTCGGCGGCCACGCGTGGCGCGCGCCCGCTCTCCGTCCCCTGTCTCGCGAAAGGGAGAAGCGGTCCACGTGACCTCTCGTTCGGTCACGCTGGAGCGGCTCGCTGCACTCGGCCGTTTTGGCGCCGCTATGGTTCTGTTCACACACCAGCCCAATGAGAGCTCACAGCTGTACGGCAAAACCTGTCCGATTACGCATTGCCGCCTGCAGGCAGGTTGGCGCCGGGAGAGGGTGTTTGGACGGCCGTGATCTCGGAGTACCGTCATCATGGTCTGCAGCGGAACAAGGAACTGACGCGTCCGCGACGAACCGAGCATAAAATGAAATTATCTCACTGATAACTATTGATCTGCTTTGGAAAGTGGAGAGAACCCTCTAGGCAGCACAATTTATCTATTTAGTAAGCATGCTCCTTAATACGGCAGTGTTTAATTGCGTCATGGAACGTTTGCACAACGTTGTAGTACCGCCAAACAAGCTGCCGAAATTTGCAGTTGCTTGCAGTACTTCAAGCTCGCGAACAGATGGCAGCACGGGCAATAATTTTTTGCTTTCCTAGTTGCCCTCATGGGCTCGTCCTATTAAGTTAGCCGGTAAAGAACCAAGTCCAACCTCCGAAATTAAGAAGCACAAAGCGTGCTTTGTCGATTGAAGTTTTTACGAGTTGTAAGTTGATCAGTGCATTTTCGAGGAATATTATTCGCATAGATGAGACTGCAGGAATAGCCTTATTCCCCTGGAGAAAAACAGGGAATAAAGACATCGATGGTTTGATCTTTCAGCAATATGCCTTTATCGAATATGAACCCATCTATATCTCCATTCTCCTGATTTTTCGTCGAGGAATAAGGCATGTACTACTGTCCTACCCGGGGCAGCTTGCTTAAAATTGTTTGAGAGCGAATTAACGTCCATTATAGTTGGAAACTGCGCTCACGGACGTGAGGTCTCAACGGCTGTACGATATTATTCTTCGCCTTCAACACCGCCTCGCCTGTGGAGCGGCAGGATTTGAATGACCCTTTTAAAACGTCATGCATGCCTGAATGACCTTAAAAGTCTGCACGAATGCGTCTGCGTATCTTCGCGGGCGTATAGCTCAGAAACCAGAGGGCTTTAGGTGTCAAGAAGCTCAGGGTCGTGAACTGCACCGAATAATCTTTAACATAGCTATTCAGCTAAGACCAGAGATAAAGATGGAACGCTCCCTTTAAGATGTCAGAATGTCCTGGCTAAACGACTTTGTCTGGTAGAGATCGATTGCGTAAGTTGTTAGTACATTTGCGAGGAACATTTTGCACCTAGATAGGACTGTACCAATAGCATTATTCTACGTACAGTAACCAGAACAGAGGAGATAGAGACGCATTGATGTTCTAGCTACATGCATTTATAGTAATAAATATAAGCAGAGAATTCAAAATTGCAGGCCGATTCCACTTGATTTTTTTAAAAACAACGAGTCGTATTTTTTACAGTTCACCAGCATTCATGGTAAGGAGCATTGCCATCATTTTCGCGACGCAGTGTATATCCAACTTTCGATTAAAATGCGCGAAAAGTACCTGTACTCGCAAACGAATTCAAATAAGCAAGAATCACGCATCACGCATCACTCATACATGCAAACGATTTCAAGCGATTAGGCCTCAGCCATCACGCATCAGACATCGCTCATATATATTGACGGTTTTAAGCTAGCACGCATCACGCATGAAAACACTTATTACATTTGCGTAATTGGTCAATAAGGCCCGTACTTTGGGGTTTCGTCACCGATTTTTGTTAGAATGGGTCTTCTTATTTTGCCGTCTGGGTGACCCTGGCTTTCTAGAGGACTTTGAAAAAACGGGTATAGTGTTCATGCCCCCTTGGATTTCAGCCTGAGTGTGATTGTCTGAAAATGGCCGCCACAATGAATGCACGCATGCATGAATGATGGGTGATGTTCGATGTCTGTTTACTTCAATTCATTTGCATGTACATATTTTTCGCAACTAATGCACGATAACTTAGGCATTCCTCCGGATCCGTGCAAGCAATTGTCACTAAACCATGTCAAAAATGGCCAGTCATCCGTGATCTCACATCCTAACACCCGATACACTGTTCTTCTGGCACTAAGGGGCTGCAGGAAACAGGCGTCCAAAGGCGGGAGGGTTCGATGACCCACGCCGAGTGCTAGTACAGAACATTACTTACCACGATGATTAAGTCACCACGGACATTGCCGAACTATAAGAACATTCCAGGGAATGCACATGCTCACCTCCTGGCACCCAAAAGCATACTGGTAACAGCTAAGGGCTACCCGAAACACAGACGGCTATGCCGAAAGGGTTTTGATGACTCGCACCGGGTATTGGTATGCAAGGTGAATTGGCAAGCGGGAGCATGGGCGTCCATAACAACGAGCATAAGGCTACTTCTAAACATTCATAAATAAAGGTTACCCAGACCCCATGATTACATTATGAATGTTCAGCCATGGAAAAGGTGGCTGATATGTTAAACCACACGGTCTCAGCAGCCCATTTCATTGAAATAAGACAAGTCAAAGAGCATCATAACCCAACATTCATGCGTTTAAATAGCAAGGCAAACTCAGTATTTAACGAGTACGGTGCAGGGACGTGTACGCCGGAGCGGGATGGCTATAAGTAGGATTGTTTGCAGGCTTGGTAAGCCAGGGGCAGCAGCCTTGTAGGCAGGGGTGGGGTGGTACTCGGGATACTTGGGCCTTCTTCTCCCTCTTAGGTGACCTCAGCGTTGTAGCCGCCGTAGTTGTCGGCGACGTACTTGACGTGCTGGACACGGCCGTTGGGCAGAGCCAACTGAGTAAAAACATATCCCTGGGGTGTCTGTAAGCCATCACTCTTCCCTCCTTCTTGGCGAAGTTGGTGCTGGTGAAGTGGTCGTGAACAGCGTAGTCGTAGGCGAACGGCTTGGCCTCCTCCTTGTACTGGGACTCCGGATGGTAAAGAAGCGGGTTTGTAGACGGGGGCCGGGTGATAGTGGGCCGAAGCGGGTTTTACGCCGACGACTCAATAAGTCAATATAGTCAATAAGTGAGATGTGCTATCAGTAAGTCATCACTCGCAGTGTATTGTTTTTTCATCATATTCAGCTCATACCTACGTTTCTGGGGCGACATTTCACCATTGCACCGCCGCCCGCAATGATTCCCCGAATGGTCTCTCACAGGTGACAAGGCGCCACAAACACAACTGCTGTCTTCAGCAATGTACGTGCATGCTGTGTTTGGTGGCCGAGTGTGAGTGGAACTGGGTACATGCCTCCACATGCTTCGACTTTCATAGATCGGTCGCGGGCCGCTGATAGAAGGTTACCAATCATTCATTGCCTCACTGATCGTGCGGCTCCCGCTACCACCGGCTGGAATCGTGGCACCATTCATTAGCACGGAACCACGGTCAGTCCCGGACACACGTGCAACTGTTGGAGAGCAATTCATACCTCCATTATTATCTCGTACTTTGTACATGACATTGTATTTGGGCAAGACATGTAAAATATGCAGGCCAATGTTCATACCGTTGAACAAGAACAAGTCGGTCTCCCTGACTCTGACGTGTGCTTTATATATATGCTTGTGCCGTTTGCAAATAGCTAAGATAGCTAATGCGTCCAAAATCCACTATGCAGTTTGTGCTGTGTGGGGTGTGTCTTTACTTCGGCTCGTCGCTGCCTTACATTCGGCATCCCTCCTCTGTCCGGACCTCAGGAACTAAAGCTTCTGAAGCGTTCTTAACGCCCTCCCTGAATGGAGCGATTTGATTTGCTGCGCGGGATCACACATATGAATAAGCTTCTCGCAATACCACATGCCACTTTTGTTTCAAGAGCATATTGCTGGCTGATATCAATGTTTGATAGCATCCTTTGTGATGTCTTTGATGACGTGCTATATTCCTGAAAAAAAAAACATTGGCAACACGTCAGAAAGCACGTTACTATCATCCCAGTGTAAATGTGCTTTACGATATTTGCGTTTATTCCCCGTCTTGTGTTTCACTCTTACAGTGACAGTGGTTCAATTAAGGAACCTTTCGCACTGCCGAACCAAACTTCAGGTCTTTCACAAAAATATTTTCAAAAGTGCTTGATTGCTTAAGTTTAAGAGAACGGTTATTTAACCAAGATTATGACGCATTGCAACACATAGTAGACTCAAAAAGAGGTATGAAAACCTAGAAAGTAATGGGAATTTGCTGTAAAATTTCATGACAGGATGCCTATCACTCAGTTATGTTGCAGTTCTATTTTACTTCGATTTACCCAATAACAATCGTCGACTGGCGACACGCTGACAACATAAGAACTAAGG